AAAAATATCAGTTATTTAATATTTATTTGGTTGATTGATCTTTTATTTGGGAATTGTATTAAAAGTTTTCAAAACCTCTGATATTAATATTTAAAAAAATGGTAAAATAGGAAAATATTTTAAAAATTGAATTTTTTTAAATATTAATAATTTATATTTAATGTTTTATTATAAGTTGTACTATTAAAAAATTAAGTGTATACAAGCAAATGCATATATTAAAATTGTAGGCAAACAATGATTTTGAGTTGTTATTAAGTATTGCATGAAAATTTCATTATACTATTCATGTTATATATATATATATATATATATATATATAACATGAATAGTATGTCATAAAGCATTCAATATTTATCTATATTTATATAATATTATAAAACATTTGATAGAAACTATTAAAAATAATTTTTTATGCATAAAATACTGTTTATTGATGCATATTACTTAAAATTCAAGATTACAAGTAGAATGTGTATGCGTACATCTTATTAAAGCTTCATGTTTGAATTCATATAACTAACTGCAGACAAACATAATCAAATACATGATAAACATCATTTCAAATATAAAAAATGTAAAATATGATTCAGATAATCTTTGAGTTCTAACAGAATACTTAATTATTATCTTAAAGAAATTATTTTATTAAACCAAAAATAAATTAGTTCGTTTTTAAAATTCAATTATATCATAATAAAAAATTGAATTATTGAAATTACACAAAAGAAATAGATTTTTTAAATAGTTAATTTGATACTAATATCACTTATTTTCATCAAAATTTTATAATATGTTCAAATTTATATTTCATTCAAAATAAAAACATTTTTTTTCTCAAAATCAAATAAAATCGCATTATAACATTGATAAACCCAAAATATAAAATGAAACATTAAAATCAAGATGGATCTCGTTGCATTGTGCGAGTACCCTTCTAGTTATATTATAAAACATTTAACAAAAACTCTTAAAAACTATTCTTTATGCATGAAGTACTGTGTATTAATGCATATTACTTAAAATTTAAGATTACAAGTAAATTGTGCGTAATCACAACTTATTAAAGCTCTATTTTTTAATTCGTATAACTAACTGCAGATAAACATAATCAAATACACGATAAACATCTCATTTTAAATATATAAAATCTAAAATATAATTTGGATAATCATTGAGTTATAACAGAATCATTATCTTTATAAAATTTTATTGTTAAGCCAAAAATAAATTACTTCACTAAATCATAAAAACATTATCTTTCTCAAAACAAATAAATCGTTTATATCAACAAAGACAAAAAAACAAAACAAAATATTAAAATGAAGATATATCTCGCTGCATTATATTTTAAAAAACTAGAATTTTCAAACAAACAAGTATTAAAGAATGATGTGCAAAATCGATAATACATTCAAAAGATTTTAATTTTCATTATTTTTCTTCCACGGACACCACCACAATTGTTATTGTTATTTTAATTATTCTCTTTCAAATTCTTCGACTCTGGCGCCAAAAAGGGCAACCGAGAACTAAATTCGATGATGTCGACTTCAAGCTACTCGTCCCGTATAGTAAGGCGTTATACCTCTTTAATATTTTGGCGGTTCCTGGTCGTGTGACCATGTGTCCAAGAAATTTACCTGCATAGAATCCAAAGGAGCACTTTGTATTGTAGGGTTTAATTTCATTTTGTATTCTTGGAAAATTTCGAACGAATGCTTGAGGTGGTTGATGTGTTCGGTCTCCCTTTTTGACTTTACCAACATGTCGTTGATATATCCATCCATGGTGTCACCCAAATGTTGTTTGAATATTCATTCGATTTACCATTCGCTTGTACGTTGATCCTGTATTTTTAAACCAAAAGGCATAACTTTAAAGCCTTTATCCCGGTTTTTTCTTGGTTGGTTGGATGCATGAGTATTTGATTATATCCATAATATGTGTCCATGAATGTAAGTAATTCATGTCCAGCCGTTGCATCAACCATAGTGTCGATGTAAGTAATTCACACCCCATAAAGTTGGGAACTTTATGGTTTGATGATACGTTGAGGGAACTGCCTTCATGTCGTGGATCCATCCAAGGTCGTCTGAGGATCACGTTTGGTTTATGCGGAAGAAAAATCCATGACGTTGAATTTAGTGGCTTATGATTAACACGTTTAGCGTATACATACATGACGTTGAATTTAGTGGTTATACAATTTATTATCTTTGTGTTAACGATGGATGGAGCTCAAGCGTTGTTTCCGTCTTTGGATATTAAATATTATAGATGTCCTTTAGGAATTAGCCAGGCTAATTCCCTTTCGTAGTGCCCAACAATAAGTCGATCGTATGTCTGTGGTCTTCGTGGAAATCACACCCCTTGGACTTGTCTTTTTAACTGTCGGGCTTATCACTTTTCTTCGGCCAACAAATAGTAGCTAGATTGTATATTCTTTAATCCCTCGATCAGATCTTTGGGTGTCCCTTCAAACCCCAGATATCTTAGGATGTTGTTGTCCCTTGGAGTACGCCGGAACATCCTTATTTTTGTCAGACCGGATATTCAAATTCTAGTGCGATTGATCCGACTTCTGGACATTCTTTGGTTTGAACTCAAGCTTGCCGACATTGAGTGGTCGCTTATCATGGGAGTGCTTCGGTCGAAAGACTACATCATCTTCTAGCCGCATTAAGTAGGGATGCACATGGGTTAAAGGCATTTAAACAACCCAACCTAACGTATATGGTTTGAAAAATCTCAACCTAACTTAACTCAATCAAAACTATATATATTAAATCCATGGTATAGAAAAGGCGTTGGGTTGAGTTCAAATTACCTTAACCCAATTCCAGCCTAATAGATGCGGTTTAGTCTAATTTTGTATCAACTATGGGTCAGGTTACATTGAGCCAACGTTCTGGCTAATATAAGTTTTTTCGGGTTAGTCGGTATTTTGAGCACCCTTAACATTAAGCCAACGTTCTGGTTCTGGCTCTGGCTCTGATGTCCTCCAAGTTTTTAGCAGGATACTTGGTCAACTCCAGGTATAAATCTGAGTTTTCATCCAAACCTCGTTTATACACTTCTATCGTCGTTCAGACATCCCAGTTCTTGACACTGATCATCCCAGCTCGGAATTGAATCGGTTGAAAGTTTTTATGAAGGATTCACCAGACTTTTGCATAATGTAGTATAGATCACTGGTTAGTTTCTCCATTTTGAATCGAGCTTTTAGGCCTGCGCTTTATTCGGCCGGCCATGTCGAGCCTTTCGTGCATCTCTAGTCATGACGATCCACCTAGGGTTTCAAGGTAGTGATGTACAATTGATTTCCTCCTATTAAGTCAACCAAGCCAGGGCCGTCCCTGGGAGGGCGGCATGGGCGCACGCCCAGGGCCCAAAAACATGAGGGCCCAAAATTTTCCTTTAAAATATACAGTAGTCTAAAAGAATTTAATAAATTAAAGAAACCAAAAAAATTGTAGCATATAATAAGAAGCAAAAATAATTCAATAGATAATAAGGGCCCAAAAATATATCAAATAATTACATTGGAGAAGGAAAAAAAATAATTGGTCATTCATTATAATGTTATTGTTTATTGCCCCTCTAATTCTTTTTTATCTCCAACAAGGTCCAATGATATTGACTATTGCTATCTCTATATGCTTGACTATTTTCGTGCTTCAACAATACAATGTTAAGATCATGTGCTTGTTATTGCTATATATTTTTGTTAGATATTTTTTTTATCAATTTCTATTTTTATTGACTATTGTTATTTGGTTATGTTGTTCTAATTGTTTTTGTTGACTATTGTTATCTATTTTTGCTTCTACATAAAATATTTTACTTTTTTTGACAATTAATCTATTGTTCTTGTGATTTATAACATGTTTCATTGTGATTAATCAATAAATTTTTTCTACTAAATGTATTTAGTAATGTCTCTTATATATGTCATGTTCTATACACTTTTAATATTAACATCTTATTTTAGTTGAACAAAAAAAAAATAGAATTTAAATATTTTCATCAATTGTTTGACTTATGTATCTTTCATAGGGATTCCACCACACCACAAGATTCTATTTAAGTGCTCAAACAATCATTTGTTGAGCTTGCATATTATATGTTTAATTCATTATTTATTTTTACTAGATCTCAATGGATCATCTTTTCTTTCATATTCTTATTGATCTTCAGTTGTCTACTTGTCTAGAAAACCTTGATAATCTTCTTTATTATTGATCTCTCATTGACCTCACGATTATTTCATCAACACAAAATCTCTTTTTGTATCAAAATAACACATATTTCTTGTTAATTATAAAGTAAAAAATTCTTACTTCTTATAAAAATTTATCCACCATAGTTTCTATACTCGTGGTTTAAAATTACATAATAAGAAATACGTAAATTTAAGTACTCTCTTATATATCTATAATAAAGATAAATAAGATTTCTTTACTCAGTAAATTATTAGCATTTGTTGTACTCAATTTTATACTAATGAAAAACATTTATTACCGAATGTCACTACAAGAAAAGTGAGCTTTGACGATGCGCCTTTTAGCGATCACATGTGTCACAAATTAAAACGAGACATATTGTTGTTATACTATTTCTAATGATAAACAGACTTTTAGCGACAACAAAAATCGTTGCTAAAAGTCTTGTTTCTTGCAGTGGGGCCCTTATTTTTATGTTCGCCCAGGGCCTAAAAAATCTCAGAAACGGACCTGAACCAAGCAGAACTTCATTACCTTATTCATTCCATTTCTTTTCTCATTTCATACAATCGAATTAACCATCAAATCAAAATAAGACCTAACTACGACACTTAACTGACCAACATAATTGCGTTACCTCAAATAACAAAAAAATCAATCATCGTGTAGAAGCACACCATTTTCCTAATGCGTTTGCTCATCAGGCTCATCAGATGACTTCAAGTAAAACCGATTTAGCCGTTCAGAAGCCCTCTTAACCTAAAAAACCCCGAATCAAAACGCTCGTTATACACCATAAATACAAAAACATAAGAGCCCATTTCTCACCACATCATTTATGTACTTAATATATATCTAAATTATAATTATTCTTCAAGGAAAAGAGAGTGTTAACACAACAATGTATTTTAAAACGATTGGTAGGACACAAAAGAGACATGAAAATAGAATAACATTTTTATAATAATAATAATAATAATAATAATGGAATAAACAAGACTTCTTTTTGTTATATGTATGTACCTGATCATCCCAATCCGTTCTCCATGCCATATATACAAGCGCAAGTGTTTGTGTCACAACGCCACCAATCATCCCGATCCATATACCCTGCCAGATAATCCACTTGTCACACCCAAAGCAACTAAGAACACTCGATAAAGGGCTCGAGTCGAATGTTGCATACCTTTACTTCGAGATTGGTCAAGTAACCAAGCAAAGCTCCCATTGGAATACCAATCAAATAGAAGCAAACAAGGTTAACGATCGCTACAGTACCCTGCAATCCCGCTCCAACCGCCACCCCTAATGACAACATGATTTGTATCAGGGCATGAAAGATTCGTGATATCAAAGTTGGTTTTCCGAAATAGGAAACTATAGAGTTGACTTTCAAGAAGTCCAACTAAATTAACAATCCTTTCAAAGGCTATGGACTTTCCAAAAACATAGATAACTGTATCCACCCCAAAATAAACGTTCACATTTCTATATTAGTTTTGTCGTGAAATGACCGCCTGCTTTCCAATTCGATCGTTATTTATGAGATGGACAAATTCATTACTCCAACTATTAAGAAAATGTAATAATTACGTATTTCTAAACTATATGCCTTTTCATTGTGGACTTTTATTTTGGGAAGTAGAAAGAATAAAGTTCGACTTTCCAAACGTAGAAAGTATAAGAGGCAACTAATTTACCTGAGAGAACTGGATAGATGCTGTTCAGTAAAACCGAAAAAGAAAGCAGCAAAGAAAGGTCTGACACAGTATCTGCAACTCTTTTATCATTCGTAAACAAGTAGGCAAGTTTTTTCCGAAAAGCCAGGCAAAGAAAGAAGAAAAACACTCCAATCGCAATCGAAGTGCCCAACAAAACTTTAATCGAGAACTTTGCCGCTTTAGCATTTCCTCTCCCTAATTCATTTGCAACACGGACACTACATATTGTTGAACAATATGATATTCATCAGATGCACATATAAGTAATAACGCTGAAAAAAAAAGCGTGCATCTAAGGAGCCGTTACCAACACAAACAAACTAGGTAACTGCTTACCGGATAAGATTCACCACCCTTACTCACTGAGTAAGATTCTCAGTAAAACGGGATAGTAAGATTATTGGTAAAGGACTATCATATCTGACCTGGTAAGCATCTCTTACCCGGTAAGGGACAATACATATTCAGTTACTCAGTAAGAGATGGTAGGTAAGTGTTTAATAAACAACCGCCAAATGAATTTAGAGAATGATATGATTTGCTGCTTACCATGCTGCACCTAAGAAACCGAGGCTAATCATAAACTCCCATGCATTGATGTTCAGGCTGAAAAAAATTAACAAATTAGCCATTTGTCGGGAAAGAACTGAAATGCATACAAAAACACACGAAAAGATTTTATACCATATGGAGAAGGCAGAAATTGCAACCTCCGCATCTGCCATGTACCCCGCAAGCAAGACTAAAACAGCATTGTACCATAACTCCAAGCTACAATTACGAACAATAAACCAGATTGTTTAAGTGTTCATCAAGTAAAAAAGGCGCATATTTGCTAATTTGGTCCATCGTTGCAAATGCAAACCGTAAGAACAAGTGCATCATGTGTTATTTAACGTGATTTTTTCCATCTAAGGCTAGGATTTAAGGTATTAACTAACATATACTTGTCTCATAATGTGTTCATTTCACATGCATTTATTTCACACATGTTTGTGAAAAGAAGAAAAGATGCACAAAAAAAGCTTCATATTATGAAACAAATATATGTGAAACGAAAACAAATATATGCAGATCAAAATCTTCTAGACTTGGATGAAAAAAGAATCATGTGAAACAATACCTTAAGGTAAAAGTTCTCACAATATACAGGGTTCGCATTCGACCATTACCCATGTATACCTATATATACATGAGTTGGATTCCGGTGACAAGAGAAGTTATTGTGAGAAGCATAAGAAGAGATCTCCGTCCTTGGATCAATCATAATTGAATGTCAAACACTAATGAGGTGCACTGGGATGCACCAAATCAATTCCCCTCTAAATAGCGCCCAATTCATGGGTGGGCATGAGATTAAGAGTGATAAAGGGTTCAGATCTCTTCTTACGCTTCTCACCGTAATTTCTCTTCACACACATCGTTCGCCATATATACATATATATAAATATGTATGTGTGTGTGCACACGTCGCTAAGGCATATGCCCACCAGGGATGTCATGTAGTTAAACGAGTTTTCAATTAAAAACATAATCTTAAAAAAGAAATTAACCCAATAAAACATCTTGCCCCCTGTAAAATTTTAAAATACACTAGAAAGTGAGTTTGTAAAAATGACTTTCGTAGAAGGTCGTTTAAATAAATATGCAATGTGAGATCAGACTTCCTGAAAGAAAATGCTACATTTTGACTTTTGAGCTGCATTCGTGAAGTATTGATATCGTTGCCGCTAAAACATACTCGGTTCGGACCAGGGACGAACCTACAGTGGCGCATTCGTGGCACATGCCACCATATTATTCCTCCGTCGAAAGGTAATAAATTTAGGTTCGTGAAAGGTGCAACCGTATTGATTTGTTGTGTGACACCGCATTTATTTTGAAACTACAATGGGAACAAATTTTATTTGGTAGAGTTGGTATGCAAAGCTGAATTCCACCCCAGACTCAAGTTCGAATCCATATAGTGTCATTTTCTTAGTCAAATGGTGCCACCATTTGAAAAAAATTATATATGTTTGTTTCTTATAATCAAACGGTGCCACCGTTTGAAACTTTTTCCCTATAGTTTTTTCCTTGTAGTCAAATGATGCTTTACCCTTTGAAAAAATTTCTGGGTCTGTCCTTGGTTCGGACTTCGGAGTCAAAACTCGATGTGTAGAGAAAAAGGTTGAGCCTTACCAGACCATCACACCAGATGATATTGAGAGCTTCACAACAGGAAACAGATCCTTAAATGCAGCTACTGTAAATCCTCTCCAAGAATAAGGACACCAACCACCAAATATGTAAATGAATTCTCCGATCACCAGAATCCACGACGACATCGACAACGCAATCATCGCACCGCTTACCCCAAGGTTCAGCTTGCGCACGAATAGCAACGACAATGGGATGTGGATCCCGAATTGAGCGATCGAAAGCCATGCAATCACCATGTTTTTCAGTTGTGCTTGTAGGTACATTTGTATGGTCAAACTGAAGACGAAATTGTAGACAAAAGGGATGAACCACAAAGAGATGTATCCACTGTTGTTTGCTACGGCCGCGTCTTCGCCTAGAAGTTTGAAAATTTGTGTAGCGAAGATGAAAATCGGGAGCAAGACGGTCAAAGTAATCAAGTCAACTATCCATGATCTTTGCAAGTAAATTCCCATCATATGGTGTTGCCCTGCTCCAAATGCTTGTCCACAAAGAGTTTCAGTTGCACTCGACATTCCCAACTGTCATTACATGAAATGATTTCTAATTAAGAGAGGAGGGGCATATGAGGTAGAAAGAGAAAAAACGCATCAAAATACAACGAAATTTCTATATAGTTGCTATTTAGTGTAAGTTTTTTTTCTTCATTCTATTTTGTACCCAATTTGACAGGCCCATTTGATGACGTGGATATCAAGTTGTCAAATTATATTGTAAAATTGATTAAAAATAAACTTATTTGGCATCCACAAAATCATTTTTACAATATAATTTGACAACTTGGCATCCACGTTACCAAATATAACAAGATCAATAGGTTACCGGTGAAATCAGGATAAGGCAAACTTCCGTTGCATTTTCATGCATTTCACCCAGAAAAAACAGACAGAAGAGTGATCCACAAGAATTCCACACATCTCGTGTCTGTTTCCTCCTAGTTTAAACAAGAAGCAACTGTAATAACAAACTCACGAGGATTCCGTTGACAAATCTGACACTAAGTGTTTGAACAAGAGCATAACCAGCAAGATCGATGTCACTAATATGACCAATAAATGATTGTGTGACAACAATAGTTCCAAATGCGCAGACTCTTGATATGACACCGGGCAATGCAACCCTCCATATCTTTGTTGATTCAACCCATATCCTCCCTTTCAAGTCACCTTCCTCCTCTTCTTTCTCACGTCGAATTAGTTTCTCTTGAATTCCATTATCCATGTCTGTAACTAATAACAAACGGATTTTAACTACATGAGATGATCCAACTTACATTATTATGATATACCAGCGACACCAAGCGTAGAGAATCAGGTGTTTCAAATAATTCTATCTTTGCATGTGGTTTCAAAAATTATTCAAATAATACCACATAATTTTATCTTTTGATAAAGATTACTACCATAACAACAAAAGTTAAGTTTCGGTTACCTGGCACAACAGATAGAGTGGTTGCGATCTTTTTGGAGACTCTATTAGCTTGACTGGACGAATAATAAATAAAAACAAAACATAAAAGTTCATGCCATATATTGAAGTAAAAGGCTTACAAATTAAAAAAAAAACAATGACAAAGTTACATCTGAAATTAACTTAATCTAAATCATTTTTCTTATATTCTTCAAAAGCTGGAATCGAGAATCGCTAAATCGACTGAAAGAATACATTATAATTACGCTAAAACATGTATAATTGGGTCAAAGGTTAACAAATATAATCCGGGCAAACATTAAAACATGTATTATTGGGTCCCAAAAATTTGGGAGGCATTGTTCCATTTCTCACATTGGAACATCCTCACAGAGTCACAGGCACGGCTCCTGACAGCAGATCATAGATGTTATCCGGTAAAGAGGAGGGTAAAATTTCACTGATTTAAACCTCCCAGTGCCCGTATTAATTTCTCCTACAAATATCAACTATCAAATTGACATTTTTTACCTTTTCAATGTTTTAAATTAACAAAAGATGGTCCTTTTTGTAGAGATATCATTGCACTAAAAAAGTAGCATATCTAAATAGCGAATATATGGAATGTCCACTCATGGTATAAAAGTAGCATGTCTATTTCAAAAAGAATCTTGCTTTTCAAATTTACCTTAATATTCGCATACCAAAATCCCACGAATGAGATGCGATTAACTTGTTTCGTTTGTTGTTTTGGTACAAAAACTAAAGAATGTTTAATACAATAATTAATTCCGAAAAGGCAATCAACTTGTTTCATTCACATAAACTATTAAATTAATTTGTCTTTCTTTTAAAAATGAACCTTTCATTACAAATTAGTACATGAGGGATTGTTATTCACACCCCTTTTAATGTTAAAATCATGTCAATTAATGCATTAAGAATGTAAAAAATAAGTTTTAATGTTGATATATATAAGAAGAAAAATAATATATAGAAGTACATATCATAATGCAATTAGTCTCCTTTTAACTCCAAAAGTTTATACATCAGAAAGAACAAAGATTCCCGTTGGTAAAAGCACTCTATTGACCGGTATCAGTAGCAGCAAAGCAGTAATAAAGGATATGGCCATAATAGCAACACATGAGTCCAAGCAGTAAGAAAAGACGTGACAGTGATAGCAACACATCAGTACTCAACCATAATTACAATTTGCACTTTATCAGGTATTTGAACTCATACAATTAGGCGATGAGGCTGTTAAATTAACTTCATTTTGGTCAATTTTTGGACTATTCTGTAAAGACCAGTGACTGGTATTGATGTGTATAAGTACAGAAATGGTGAGAAATGTTCATTTAGTAATAAATGATGGTTATGTGAGAATAGAGCCCTTGTGTAAAAAATAAGGTTCTAAGGTATATTTTTAAGAAATTGTCCAAGTCTAACTGATATAGAATTTTAGTACGCCTTCCAACGGAGGCTAGAGAGTAGAGAAGCACTTATTGTCTCGGTGTCAATTAAGTCCCTTAGAGTAGACTGATAAAACCTGGCTCTATATCATGTGATAATATATGGAACCTTGGGTTAATCTTCAAAAAAGTACTTGAGGAAAGAAGAGAGGTTCAAATATATAAAGAAAGAAAAACTGGGGATTGAGAATTTCAAAAGAGCCCTCAAGGTAAAAGACACTTTCTTATACCGGGCAAAAAGACCCTTTTCAACCTAAAATAATATTTTACAGCTTTTACGTCTAAAAGGTTGCTCACGAGTTATAATATGCTGGTCCGTATTTATAAAATTAAAAAATTAAAATTAATAGAATAAAATAGATAGCAATTTTTTATCCTTGTCATCAGATAAACTTATCCTTTACAACTTAAAAGAAGGTATTATTTATCCTGTTTATTTTTTCAATATTTTATTTGAAAAGAAAATGTCTGTTACATCTAGATATTGACAAAAAAGGCAACTGAGACATCCTGTTGCACAATAAGTTAAGAAGGGAACGCATTCCAAAACAAATTCACACATTATTTTACAAAAATTATAATGGTAGTAATTTAAATCTATTAATCGGATTGGATTGAACTCTTTACCACATTTATATAAACATTTTAATTATTATTTAGAAAAATCTCAACCCAAACCATAACCTAATTTGGAGGTTGAGGTGGGTTAATATCTACATACACTCGACCAATGAAATAATTTTTGTCCTATTAGATTCTTTGTCATAATTTTTTTTGTGGTAAATCTGTTTTCGTAACCTCTACGTATAGCTTAAGAGAAATACAAACCTAAACGCAACAAACATTGTATAAAGTTTCACACAATATTAATATATTAATATATATATATATATATATATAATTTTATTGAAATTATATATATTAGTGGCAGATTAGAAGGTTGGTTTGAGTTAAGCTAAACTAACCCAATTGGTTTGAGGGTTTACTGGGTTGAGTTTAATTGGATTGTTAACAAGTTGGATAGGACGGGTTAAGCGGTATTGACGGTTTTTTATAAAAACTAGAAAAATAAAAGGCATATTGTGAAAATGGCTATTTTTATCTTGAAAATAAAATCTAGCAAACATTTAATTTGGCACGAAGTGTGCTCAACGATTAAAATATCAAAATCTTCCAACACTTTGCTAAGGAACAAATATTTTTACAAAAACTTTTAAAGGTTCCCATTCCCGATGCAATTTTTTCATTTTATGGGAAATTGATTCAAACCATCATTTTATCTATTTAAATCGGTCTCTTAGTTATTCCTCTCCCGAGTTTACTCAAATGTCACTATGTCCGCAATATCCAAATATTGCAGACCTGACTAAAAGATATAAAAAAGTTATCAGATTCGACTTAGGTATACAATTGCGACGGCCAGGTCCATATTTACGACGGTTCCACTTTTTAACCCGGTGGAATTTTTTTTTTTTTTTTATATTTTAGCCAGGTCCATAATATTAGAAACATACTGTTATTTGAGTCGATTCGGAAAAGAAATGACTAAAAGACCAATTTAAATAGATGAAAGGGTTATTTGAGTAAATTTTGCCAATTGACGCGTGCCTAAACATAATGCTGGCTAGTTGTAGAGGTGAAGGTGGTCATACCATGGATGTGTCACGTGTTTTGCAGACCACCTTATACTTCTAGTCATCATCCTTGATTTGCTACTCTCCTCATTGATTCCACTAACCACAGGAACACTTGTACCCTATGCACTTTGGGTGTACATCTAACAAACTCAAGAGTACAACTCCACTCCATAAAGTACAACTCATCAAACCACCGAATTCCAACAATCAAAACTTAAGCTCAATTGACGGTGATTTAGGGGATAGCGATCGATCATCATCTTATGAACTGCAAATTTTCTATCCTCAGCAACAACATTATTGAATCATTAGAGTCGTTGTGTAGGTGAAGAACGTCAATCGTTAAACGTGGAGGTGCGAAAATTAGCAAACGATATTATCATATAAAAACTGCAAATTAAATTGATATTCTCATAAACAGATCGTTTGAGTTGTGTAGACGGTGAAAACTCGATCGTTAAGCGTTTAGGTGTGAAAACACTATCGATCATTGTCATCAGATAAAACTGCAAATTAAATTGCTGTGATCACTCGTTTGAGTGGTGTAGACGGTGTATAACATCGATGATCACGCGTGCAGGTGTGAAAAATTCGTCCTAACACCGAATCAAACTTCGAGGTTGAAAGCTAAATCGAAATCTCCATGAAATTAAAATCAGCAGACAGCAGGAATATGATACAGATACGAGCAGAGACTTACATAACTTGAGAAATATGGTTTCGATCAACGGAGGCAAGCGATGATTACGTCACTCCTCCAGATTATTAGAAAAGTAGGGTGAGGGTGGCGGTGGCGTCACGGCGCGGCCGTTGAGTCGTATTGAAATGAGTGGAAGAATCGTTATATATCTATGTTGACATCTGGAAACGAGTATGTTTACACCTACGTAAAAGGCAATGGCCCACCTTTTCTTTCGTAAATGGGCTTTTGTTACCATGGGCTCTTTACTATTCGCTAATTTTTTTTTTGAGGTTGGAGTTGGGTTTGGTTTGGTCTGGTTTGGTTTGGTTTGCGGAATGTTTTTAAGATTGAATGAAATTTATTAGAGAAATTTGATTTTGAAGGTCTTGGAATGGAATGGAATGGTGTTAGGTTTGATCACATATTTGGTTGGTAAACATTGAAATGGAATCGGTTAAAGAATTGAAATCTGTCTGTTTGGTTCATAGAATGTAACTTTGGAATTTGAATGAAATATTGATAAATGACCAAAATGCTCTTTTTTGAAAATTTTATTTTTCTTCAAACTAAAAATACTTTAATAAAATAATTATTTAATATGTAAAACAATATAAAATAAACAACCCAAATATAACCATAAGCTAAACTACATTACTAAATCAACAGCGGTGGTTCATATCGGTGGTGGTCCACGGTGGTTCAGATCGGTGGTGGTCGCAGTGTTTCAGGTGGCGGTGGTCGACAGTGGTTCAGATGGAGGTGGTCAGCGGTGGTTAGATGAACGGTGATTCAGATCGACAGTGACACTGGTGGTTCAGATTGGTGGTTGTTCAAATTGTTGGTGGTCGGCTGTGTCCAGGGGTGATTCCGATGATGGTAGTCGTCGGTAGTTCAGATCCGCGATGGTCCATGGTGCTTTAGGTGGCGATGGTCGGACGTGACTCAGATCGGCGGTGGATCAGATCAGTGGTTGTTCAGATCTGTGATGGTCAGCGGTGATTCAGATAGAAGTAGTTGGCGGTGGTTCAGATCGATGGTGGTCCGTGTTGTTTCAGATGGCGAAGTTCGACAGTGATTCAGATCGATAGTGTCCATGGTGGTTCAGATGAAGGTGATCAGCGGTGGTTCAGATCGACAGTGGATCAGATCGGTGGTGGTCGGCGGTAGTTCAGATGGTTCAGATCGGTGGTGGTCGGCGGTGGTTCAGACGATGGTGATCAACGGTGATTCAGATCAATGATGGTCGAAGGTGGTCGATGATGGTCATATTGAGTTTTATGATATTAGGGTATATTGGGTTAAGGCATATTTGGTATTATGAAAATAGAGAATTCATTCCATCAAAATACCATATAGTTGCTGAGGAATGCTAAATTCTTTTATTTGTGGAATTTATATGATTTTGAAGATTCTTTTCGTGAAAAAGAATGAACCAAACGTGAAAATGAAATTTGGTCAATGAAATTCAAGATTCCAATTCCATCAGATTCTTTCAGAATTTGCGAACCAAACACCCCTGAATGTTTGGTTAGAGGTATTAAATAGTAATCAATGAGAATCATAATAAAAAAAAGTTATATGGTTTTACATAATATAATGGGCTAAATTTTTTAGGAGCCCAAATTTTATTTACAAGTTAAACTGGGGTGAATGAAAAGACATTTCTCATTTCATTCACTGTCAATTTCATTTCTATTACTTTTTTATTTCTCAACTTGAACCAAACAGTCCCTAAAAATGACATCTTATTATATGTTTTTAACGATCCTTGTTTTCTGAAAAAAAAAATTAACATGTGTTGTGTTTTTTGTGATTACATTCTCACAATAAGCTAAGTCCATAATGCAACTATAGAGACCCAAGTCGTTGATTTATTTAAAGATCAAACTCATTAAAAATGCAACCATGGGGACGTAACTCGTTAAAAACACAACCACCAATACACGTTCCATTGAATTTTTTAAAAGATACAAAGGACTATTAAAAACACCTAATCACAAGGACGAAACATGTAACTTACTCTAATTTTTGTCTTATTTCTTTTTTACTATGCTATATTCAAGAGCAAATTGTTGGTTTTGCCTATGTGGTTAACTGGTTATACGTTTTTAACGGTTCTTGTTCTTTTTTTTGAAAATCCAACCGATCCTGTCCCTATGGTTGCAATTTTACAAGTTGGTTCCTTAACAAGGGTGGAGGTACGTTAGCTCCAGAAGGTTCATTCGCTCTCTCCCGCATTTTTTATGTATTAATAACTAAGTGAAGGAGCGTGTGAGAAGGAGAGTTAAGGTGAAAAATGCAAGAAGGGATTAAAACCCTTGATCACCTTTAATCTCAACCCACCTACGAATCGCGTTTGATACGGGATTGATCTGGTGCACCTCTGTGCCTCCAAGGGTGTAGATCCCTTCTTATGTTTCTCACTATAACTCAATATTTGATTAAATTCTTCTAATAGGTTGGGCTCCTCCTACCGAAACCAATCACACATTCACGAAAACTAAAACAGGACATTGGACGCCTTTGTCGGAAGAAGTTAGCACGAGTGCCCACCCCTCCATCTTTCCAATGAACATGCATCTTTGTGTTTGCTGTACTGACGAGCGTCGGCACCCAGCCCAACCCTTTCCACCTACGAACCAACGTTACTGGAAGACGTCTACACCGTCCTGATCTCACCCCGTTTACACCCTCCATCAAGACGTATACACCTTCCTCAGTTACGTGCTTCTTCCTTATTTTTAAATTTTCCATTATGATAAATACTTTATCTTGACTGTGTTAGAACTTTCCTTCCATCATCAATTAGGGGTTGTTTACCAAATGCTTACTCGGGTAAGCGCTTAACCGAGTTACATTATCTTACCGGATGAACATGGAAAGGACCAAGAATCTTACCCGGTAAGAGCGAGGCACTGACCGAGAGTCTTACCCGACAAGTAAGGGCAATGACTCTTACCACGGTCAGCTCTTACCGAGTAAATTGTTGCATAGAAAGTCGTTTTTGTTGACTAAAATTTTACCCGGTAAGTAAATGATAATGTTAAATTTTACCGCTGGATGCTTACCGGGTAAGTAATAACTCCTTATTTCTTTAGTCCCTGTGTAAATATGTTACAACTTTCCTAATTCCTTGCACTTTGGTGGAAAAATTTAGCGGTCGTTTATCCAAATGCTTATTCGGGCCGTTTCCCTAAATGCTTACCCGGTAAGCGCTTACCAATAGGAGTCAGTCAACATTATAATTTATTTTGATGCGTAAGATTTTAGTAGATCAAAACATATCGAATGCAACAATTTACTGGGTAAGTGCTTACCTGAGTAATAGTCACCATCCTCATTTACCTGGTAAGACTCTCCATCATTCTCATAGCTCTTACCCAGTAAGATTTTTGACCCTTCTCATGTTCATCCAATGAGGAAATTTATGCGTTAGACACTTACCAAGTAAGTGTTTAATAAACAACCCCTTAGATTGATTTATGTAATTATGTGTTATGAATAAAGGTTAGTTTCTTTTATATTAGTTTAATTTAACAGTAATGGATAAAAATTTAATAAAGAGTACTAAACAACCGGTGATTCATCACCTATGCCTGATAAGAATAATGTTGACAGCTGTAAACAATGTCACGTGAAAATTAACTTACCTAATCTTCATATTGATACTAGATTGCGGATTAGGATTTTGGATTACAATCATAATATTGGTGATAAAGTTCGCAAAACATATCTATGAAAGGGCCTTGCCAACCTCGAAGTCATGATTTTCCTTACACTGCATTTGGAATAGGATCACGAAGATTCAACCCTTCTTCGATTGACGGATTTTCTACTTGGCTTGAGTATACTGTCAGTAAAAATGCAGCTTACTATTTGTGGTTTTCCAATCCAAGTGTTGGAGATTAAACAGGCAGTGAGTCTTTTGTTGGTTTAGAATGTGAGATCAATGGATGAACGATTGCTTCGTTACTTACATTGAAAAAGATATTTTTACTGAGATTGATAATTAAAACATCATAAATAAGTTCCACAAGGTGAATACAAATATTTGGGAGACAATATCTTAAGTCATAGTTTTTTTATGAAAAAATCATGTAAAAAATGTTTTTATATTGGTTCTTAAAATTTTTTAATCAAAAAGGTTACAAATCCCATGAGGACTCATTTAAAAATAAATTTTTACATGATTTTTTTTCATCAAATACTGGTATTTAAAATATTGTTTCACATATATTTGTTTCATAATGTAATAGTTTTACATGTATTTGTTTCACCATATGAATATTTTCTATGTGTATTTTTCATTTCATTAAGTGAATCAGAAAAAAAAAAATTCACATGCAATTTTTTCATAAGGTGAACACAAATATACGTGAAACAATATATTAAATCATAGCTTTTGATGGAAACAAATAATGTAAAAAGATATTTTTATATATCGGTTCTTATAGGTTTGTAACATTTTTGTGGTTCTTATTTTATTATCGTCCTATATATATATATGTGTACATATATATATATATATATACATATATATAGGGAGGGAGAGAGAAGGGTTGGTAATCATTTGAGAACTAAAAATTTGTGAAGACTATTAAATCTAACCTGTCCAGTAATTTCATAATTTTAATAAATATATTTAAAATAATAATAAGAGGGAATATTGTAATTTAATTATTGTCAACTAAATTAAATCTTTTTCAATCCTTAGAAATATGCCTCCATTTTAGTAATTGTGGATTTTTATTTCATAATCATGTTTTAATATGAAATCACAATTTTAAAGTCAAATCTTTTTATAAGACCATATCAAACACAATGCGCATTTACCAAATGTATTGTGGTTTGAGGTGGGAACAATGTATTCTTTTACTGATTGGTTTTATGGAGTTCAAAGCGTGCATCTATCAACACACTTTACATTTTCATTCTAGCTATACATTTACTAACTAATCAGTAGTTCAAGCTGAAAACACAGTGCCTATTACCATCTATCTGTGTATATTCATTTCAATCTGGAAACAAGGATGAAGTGACATAATTTTATTGAACTTCCGATGGAACCAAATGGTGGTTTTTGGAGGTTGATCACTCAAGCCAATGATCTG